GTATGCATACATATGTGTGTGCTACAGTATACGCACAGTATGTAACTGTATAAAGTACATTTACTGTATACTATAAACATATACTGTAACATGAAGCATTGTAGTAAGTATACAATATTACAGTACAGTGCACATTGTTGGATTACGTACCTGTTATCTCTATGAAACATTTGAATGATTGAGGACATGGTTGTTCTCTCAAATTCGGCTGTACCGTTCGACTAGCCTCAGCCATTGTAAAGGCCATGACTGAGGACATGGTCCACAATTGTGGCCCTTATTCACCAGGAACATGCCTCTGTTCTTGGTCTCTTCTACCTCTTCCTCTGTTCTGCCTCCCTACCCTTCTACCATGCAGCTGAACTCCTTTTCTTCTTATCAGCTGTTTACTCTGTTCATTTCCTTGTTGTTCTTCCATTGCCAAATTGTAACATTGTGTTTTGGTCTGTCAATATATGCTGCCAACTGAAGGTTCATGAGATGCACCTCAGCTATTTTAGAGAACTGGTTGATCACTAGTCAATCTAATTCTTCAAACATTCTCTACTGGTGAAAATCAGGTGGAATGGCAAAAGGAGACTCTTCCTCAGTCTTCTAGCCAAGGAACTCCGTTGCTGATTCGTGTAGCAAAAGGCAAAGAAGACAGAGAGAGACGCCGCTGCAGCTGCCCTGTGCCAAGGCCTGTACAGATTACTCAGTGCCAGGTACAGGAGAGCTGCAACAGAAATCGCAGCAAGTTTGCCTGCACGGAGTGTCACAGATTCACGTGTGCCAAATGCAGGGACGATGGATACTGGGTTTGCAAACACTGCAAACACAGGCCTTGAAACATTCTATTTTCACTAATTTCTTATAAATAAAACAGACTTGTTTCCATATATTTTGTGAATGTGTGTCTTTCATTTTGCAGGTCAGTCAGTGTGTTGGATATTTTGTATAGATATGACAAGCTTCAGTGAAGGTTCTCATGTCACACACACAGGTTCGGGCTGCCTTGGATTTGAGCTAGCAATCTGAGCACACAAATGCAAATGTGCCAGGGTTCACAGGCAAAATCGGTGATTTGCACAACAAAAGCAGGAGGACAATGGGGCTGAAGGCCTGCGCAGGCTTAGGAGGAGCTGTAGGGAGTTCTAGGGAATTTACGCAAATTTGCGCAGCAAAAGTTCTAGTGTTAAAACTATAGGTAACATGCCATTAGGGCCCTGATCATTTGAATTACGGTGCCAAAGCATTTGCAATTTGACCAAAACAATGAGACTTTGCATTTATGAGGTGCACAAGTGAGTCCATGATGTGGAGGTTGTACAAATAGTTTTCATTTCAAAATTTTATTCCTGATCTGAGAAATGTAACAAAGCAACAGAAAAACTGTAAAAATGTTAATTCTTAAAATACTGGAAAATTTGCTTAAACCATGTCACCTATGCATGCACAACATTAATAGTAGGAAACATCTTGAGCAAGATAGCTAGTATTTATGTTAGGCTAAAGATGTTGTAACATTAGAGGAAAGTTAAAGATCCTATAGACTTCCAGGTGTGTCCTGGCCATTAGGCAAACCAAGCAAAATCCCGCGCATCAGTGGACTGCTGTGTGGATTTTATTTATGGATACATGTATATATGTATGTTTGTATTTGTTTATTTTCATTCTATAGCATAGTATACACTGTTCTTCGCAGAGTTTGTACAGTTTTATTTTATAATTCTATTTGTATGTTTTGGGTATACAGTTCTGTTTTTATTATTTGTATTTATATGTATTTAAATTTTTTTTATATTTTAAGTTATCTAAATTTTTTTGCCCATGCAGTCCTAGTCAGGATTATTGGCACCGCTCAACTGTAAGTACAGAATGTAGAATATCTTAAGAAATAAATGCAAATGAACCAGTTCTGTATAATCAGAATAATATTAAATAAAATGTCCAAAGTTAGTTAACACCACCAACAACAACAACGAAAAGCTTTCATATAGCGAAATAAAAAATATAGACATCAAAAGCATGCTTGACACGATTATCAGCACCATTCACTAATATTTGGATGCAGAACCTCTGGCAAAATGACTGCTTCTAAACATTTTTTGTAGCCATTTATAAGCTTTTTGCATCTGTCTGCTGGTAGTTTGTGCCTCTTCCATTGTTATGCATTCAAGCTCTTTTAAGTTTGCTGGAGTCCTATTTGAAGTGGCAGCTTTCAGCTCTCTGCAGAGGTTTTCAATGGGATTTAGGTCAGGACTCATTGATGGCCAGTTTAAAACAGTCCATCTTTTCCTTGGCCACCATTCTCTTGTACTGTTGGATGTGTGATTTGGGTTGTTGTCCTGCTGAAAACCCCAAGACTTTGACCTCAAGCCTAGTTACACTGGATAATACATTTCACTCTAAAATGCCATGGTAATCTTCTGATTTTGTTGTTCCTTTGGTACATTCAATGTCTCCAGGACAAGAGGCAGCAAAGAAGCCCCACAACATGATAGAACCTCCACCATGTCTTACTGTAGGTAGCATGTTCTTACTCTTATGGGCTTCATTCTGTTGACTATAAGCTAACTGAGGCACTGAGACATTTTCAAAGAGCTCTACTTTGGTTTCATCTGTCCATAGAACATTATCCCAGAAAGACTGTGACATATCTAAGTTTTTGCAAACATAAGTCTTGCCTTTTTATTCCATACTTTCAATAGTGGTGTCTTCATTTGCCTTTCCACTCATGCAATTCTACCTGGTTTATTGTGTGGCATACAGTATGGTGCAGGCAGAAACCACCGCTCCAGATTGCTCTAATGCATTCCAAAACATTCTTTAGATGTCTTGTGTGGTATTTTTTTCCATAATCCACACCAACCTTCGCAGACTTATCTCATTGAGTTTCTTCTTGCACCATACCATGAAAGCATCTTAACAGGAATTTCAAGTTCTTTGGCGATTGCCTTGTGACCTTTGGAATTGTTATGCATTTTAATAATACCAGTTCTGATGCTCTCAGACAGCTCTCTTTGCCAATGTGAAAAAGATACTGGAAGGAATCAGCCACGTTTTATGCAGTAAAACCCTCATTTATTGCTTAATTCACATCATTTGAACACTGAATATTAAGCACAGGTGAGGCTCATTTGTTTTCTAGTTTGTATAAATAATTAAAAATCATAAATGGTGCTAATAATTGTGTTCAGCACCCATCTTTTGTCTATGTTTTTTTATTTCACTGTATGAAAGTTTTGTTTTGTTGTTGTTTAATTACTTTGGACATTTTAACTAAAACTGACAGGTGCCAAAAACCCTGACCTGTATATAGGAGCAGGTCCCGGTAAGGTAGGAGTTTGATTCCCCAGTGTGGTAGAGGTTAAAGTCCCCTATGAAACACATGGGTGGTTAAACTCCTGTTGTTCTGGTGGTTCTTTATTATTTTTTGTGCTTATTTTAATTACTATCTGACTGTATGGTTCTTAAACCTGCTCCGTGTTATTAGACCAGCGACAGAAAGTAAAATGCCCCCTGGAGACCAATACAGTATGTTTACCAACCAACCCACTATCCATGTAATATTACATATGAGTGAGCTGATCTCTGACAGTCTAATACTATAAATTTAGCTTGGTATTGCTTCATTCTGCACCACCTTATGTCACTCTAGACCAGGGGTCTGCAACCTTTTTAAAGCAAAGAGCCATTTTGCTTGAACCAAGATTTCTGAACCAAGATTTACAATGAGCCACAATGGGCACAGAAGAGGGTTTGATATATGATTTTTTAAATGTAATTTTTTTTTTTAAATGGGCATATACACTCACCTAAAGGATTATTAGGAACACCTGTTCAATTTCTCATTAATGCAATTATCTAATCAACCAATCACATGGCAGTTGCTTCAAT